ATTTTTACATTTTTTTAAATTTAAAATTAAAAGCAAAATAAAAAAAGTTGTATTTTATAGGACAGGACAATTATTAAGTATTTAATTTATTTGGCTTTTGTGTTTTCTTAAAAAAAAATCTAATAAAGCTCAACTTCAGTGTCCGTTTCACTTGAAGTGAAAACGCGATTTTGAAAATATATGAACACTGTAATTGTATTTTTTTTATTTACAAGTAATGTAAAAGTAGCATAGCAACTGAAAAAGTAGATTTGAATAGTAACTCTAAACAATGCAGTTAATCTATGGTATAATTTATTAGGACCAATAGTATACATTTAATTTGCCATTTACTACATCATTATCAAAAATGGTATTAAATACCTGTAGTGTATTTTCAAGTACCAAGTAATGACTGAAAGTTTTAAATATAATTTGAAAACAGAAGTTGATGTGGGAGAACTATAAAGCTTCAATTTAAGATGGACTTACCTCTAATTAAAAAGCTGCTAACAAACCTAATTTTATTTAGATACATTTAAGTTATTTTCACTTTATTGGTTAAGAAATACACAAAAACGTTTTATTAAAGTGAAGATTAGACATTATGGACAGTAAAATGTACCTGTTATTAACAAAGAAATCTTTCACTCCTGACAAAGAACATTTAGTTTGTGTTCTTACAGAGAGCTCATGTTTGGCATGTAAAGAAATAAAACTTATGTCTGGTTCTGACCTTGTGTGAGGGAGGTGTCTGAGGCACGGCGTCCTTCTCTGAAGCTGATGGGGGAGCGGTTGTGCGCCTCCCTGTGCTGTGTACTCAGGGCAGCCATAGCTGGGTTGGCAGGCCTCGCCATAAAGAAGGGTGCAGGCGTGACGCCAGGGGTGGAGCTGCTGGCTGGTACCGCTTCACTGAAGGAGGGGGGAGAATCCTCCAGCAGACCCAGGTCACTGTGCACAGAGCCCATGTCGTAGCCCATGTCGGAGTTCATGCTGCTCGTGGATGGGTTGTGGCCTAGAGTGAAGAATTTACCTGCGAAGGACATTTTGATTCTGGGTCAACACAATAATTCAAATAACAGTTTTTTGGTTTTAGCAGAGCCCGGCGGCCAACAATACCTTGGCTCGACGGGCCCGGCTGATTGGTGACTTCAGACAAGGTGTGCCGTCGTTGTCCGAATCGAGCGGTCTGATAGGCTGACAGCAGGTGGGCTGGATCATCCTCTGCGTCGGGCTCCTCGGTCTCAATGCCCTCGTCAATCGATGTCTCCATCATGTTGCTAGGCGACGAGGTGGAGGACTTGCGGTGGACAGTGGTGGGAGGGAGGGGGTCCAGCAGGCAGCCATTCACCTAAATGAGGACAAATGATAAAAAAAAAAAAAAAAAAAAGAGACTGAACAATATTTAAACTTTTGAAATTGAAACCTCTAAACACAACAAAGCAGCCCTGGTTGTTTTCTGGTCATTTGTTTGTAATGTTAATGTGTTTCTGTTTGAGTGTGCCATCCTCTCAGCAGAAGATCTTTGGGAGTCCACCTACAGGTGTACCTCAGGGCTATATGTTTGGACAGGATGCAACACTCACAACTGGGGGCATGTCTGGGATTTGAACCTAGGGCTTTTCACACCCAAACTAAGAATCATAATCCTTCAAAATGACAGTATCATACACCCTCAAGATGCATGCACAAAGATAGTACAAACAAACCCTTACCCCCACTTGCAGACCTAAGAAGCAAAAAGGTATTCTCCTTGCTGAGAGAACAACTCCATTATTTACTCGCCTCCTTCGGGTTCCTTTCTTATATCTAAAATGGTTTTCATGCTGTCCTGTATGAAATAATTTTGTTGTTACTGTTAAAGTTGCTGAATGCAGGCTGGTGTTTGTTGGAGCAGACGTAAAGGAGTTAAAGAATGCTTAGACAGAGAGTAAGCTTCGACTGAGACACAGATCTTCCACATGAACTGCTGCAGAAACCTGGAAAGCCTGGTGTTGATCTAGAACGAGAAGCTTTGCCCACATCCCCATCTGTTTTCTTTAGTGTGCTGGGATAAGAATGCTATTACACAACACATCCACACACTCACCGAACGGGGGGCGGGGGCCACATTATGAAATTGACATAAAGAGGTGACAGGTCATGAGGGCACAGTGGAGTAAAAAAAAAAGAATCAATAGAAGAGAGAGAGAGACGAAGCTGAATGAAAAGAGTCTATAGAAAAACAGGAGGATAAAGAGCACCAAAAAAAATATATAAAAAAAAGAGCCATTGGCTGGGGGGGTGAGATAACTGGGTGGAGAGATCGCAGAGGTGGCTCAGCAGCTTCCTGTCCATGTGTGTTCACTCAGCTCTGCATTAGATCACATCATCATCACAGGACTGCTTACATAACCAGACTCCATTCACACAGATAACATGCACCCTGTTCTGCTTAGCACACGCACACACACACACGCACGCACGCACGCACGCACGCACGCACGCACGCACGCACGCACGCACGCACGCACGCACGCAC